AGAAACTCTTGCTTGAATCTGGCTCCAACCAAGCCCTACACGAATGACTTTATATGAAAAGAACCAAAGACAACACACAAGACACTTGCCCTCCTTCCCGAGCATCAGCCTCCCCTGCATTCTCCTGTCACACCTGCTGTGGGAGTCACGGTCATGTATCCACGTAGCTGGGCCTGGTTGAGTGGCTGGGAAGCTGGATGCAGTTACTCCCCATGATGAGACTGGCAACCAACTCCATGGTCCAATCTACTGGAGCAGCTGAGTAGCTAGGGATGTGGTCTGTTTCCAGTATATAAGACACTTGGAAAAAAGTCTCTGAGCTTTTTGGCACATCTGGATCCTGCCTTTGGCCAAGTCTTCATCTCAGTGGTCTGCCATGTTGACTGTTGATCTTGGGCCTGTTTCTGGACTTGAACTACGGCCTGCCATGCTGTTAATCTTGGGACTGTGCCATTTTGTCGACCTTGGGTTTGTCAGCGTCAGCAGCCAGCAGCTGTCTGAGTGAAGAGATGCCTCTAACTTCAGTGGCCTGGGAGCAAGAGGCAGAGGTGAAGCCCAAGGTCTTGGGACCTTCACCCAGCCCCTAAACCCAACACTTTGAACTCAAGACTTCTAGCCTCCTAAACTGTAAGAGAAGACAGCCAGTTTGCTAAAGCCATACATTACTACAGCAGCACCAGATGACCAAGACACCTGCCCTGCCGAACACAAGGTCTTGCTCCCTCTCAAGCCTCCAGGCTTCTGGCACAACCTACATGAGCCCTCTGAATTGAGAACCCCTCCCCACTCCCTGCCTGGGCCTTCCCACTCATCCTTCTAGAGTCAGCTCAGAGACCCCACCCCTCCAAAGCCCAGACAGAGGAAGGCCCTCTCCACACTTTGTACAAACCCTGTGCTCAGCATTCATCAGGTGGTGCTGTTGTCTCTTCAGTGGCCCATCTCCCCAGATCTTGAGAAACTAGCAGTCACCTGCATGCTGAAATGCCTCCTTCCTAAAAAGCTGGCCACCACTCACCACTCTCTGAATTTCCACTGCCTAGCAAGCAACTCAGAAGCTGTTTGCTAAACGTTTTTTTTTTTTTTAAAAAAAAAAAAGACATGCTATTATTTACTCCTTAACTATGGAAAACAGTTATTTAATGTTAACTCGGTGGGTATTAACAAAATACAAAGTGGATCCACACTAGCAGGTTCTTAGAACTCAGGGAACAAAGTCATGAGGCATCTTGGCTTTTCTCAGTTGTGGTGTAAACTATACTGACTTAATTATCATAAAAGAAACAAGATTTCAACTGCACACGTGCCTTGAGGAAACCCACCAAGTTCACTGGGCTCCACTGTCATGATTTTTGTATAAAGCCCCAGTTGAAGGAATATTATTTCTACCCACCATAATTTTGTTTGCTCTTCCCGGGCGATGAGGCCCTCGCTTTCTCTCACCTGGGCTACACTGCCACTGTCCCCCGCTCCATTTCTCCCAGATTCCGGCAGCTGATGACAGCCTAGAATGCTCCTCAACCCAGTCCCTGGCTCCACGAGCATCCAGGCCTCCAGCTTGTGGAGCCCAAACTCCGGCTCCAACAGATGTATCTCCAGGTCACTTCCCTTTCTCCAACCCTGAGTGAGATGCACCGGAAGGTGCCTCTGGTTTCCAAGAACACACCCTACATTGGGTTTTATGTACGTATACACACACACAAGCACACACTTACACACATATACGCATGGTACATACACATGTATACATACATACAGCACTGGCACACGACTGTTCCTGCGGCTTGCACATTGCCTCTTCCTCTGTACAGAGATCCCAGATCCAACTCAAAAGCCACCTCCTACTTGAAAGCCCACTTCCAACTTCCTCAAGAAACAGCTGACTTACATGTGTTGCTCTCCCCCCACAGGTGCCAGGCTTGGGGCAGATGACTGGCAGGCCCCGACCACTCCCTCCTGACTCAGCCTTGTACTGAGATCTCTGAGCACAAAGTATGTGCTGGGTGAAAGGTGGCTAGATTGAAGGTAACGTTCCATCACGGGAGGAGTCAGCGGAACAAACACAGGCCCTCTTCCAAATGAGAAAATGCCCAACACTGGATGCCAGCACGGAGGTGGGGGGACATGACCGGGTGGGTGCGCCCCACAGTATGGACCCAGGGAGGCACAGGTACTGAGAGTAGCAGGGGTGGGGGTCCCCAAAGAAACACCATGAAAGAAGTGAAAGGATCCGTGGGCCAACCACTGAGTATCATGTAACTCTCAATTTTGCCCTGTGTCAAAAACAAGGACAAATTGTTGCTGTATGTTCAGCTGTGTATATCCTCAAAAATAACGAACATAAAATAAATTATAAAACAAGAACAGACACACCAGAGGAACGAACCCAACAAGGGCGCTTCAATAGACTGAACAACTGCAGAAAGGAAGCTGGGCCTGAAACTGAGCGGGGTGCTACAGGTGGGACTTCCTGGCACTCCGGGGCGGGGCAGGAGGGCTCTGGGCTGCTAGCGGGATCCGCAGTTTGCTAGCCACATACAATGGGAAAACCAGGCTGCCCCCTTTGACCAGGAACCGGGGCGGGTGTTGGCCCAGGATCAGGAGGCAGCCCCACAGGGACGGCAGAGACAAGGACTTCCAGTCTCTGGGTCCCAATGCAGCCTAGATCAGAGACCCAGAGGGCGAAGGCTCGCAGCCACGGTAGCTTTAGGCCAGCTTTCAAAGTGTGGCCCAGAAGGGCAGATCCTCAGACCCTGCCCAACACCTAACACATCAAAGGCTCAGCCACACTAGTTTGAGAACCACTGCCAACAACCTCCTGTCTGGTTAGAAAGAGCACTGGGCAGTGGCATTTGCTGTCTCTGAGAGGGAGACAACTTCCCAAAACATTGAGTGCTTGAAGTCACAGCCTGGTAGGGGAAAGGCAGGCCAGAGATTGTTTCTAAAAACCATACCCAACCAAGACCAAAGCTCGCTAGCAGGTAAACACCTTCAGTGCCATTGGCCCCTCCTGACCTGGGTCCTGCTGCCCCTCTGGGCTCCTGCCCAACTCGCATCTCTAACTCCAGCCACAGGGCACCTCCAGTTCCTAAAGCACCGGGCTGAATTCATGCAAAACAGTGGCCACCATCCTTGTCCCTCCATAACAGCCCTGCCTCCAAGGAGCCTCCTTGACCAAGCCTGCAACCCTCTTCAGCTTTCTGGAACATCACAGGCCCCATCACAGCACTCATCACCGGCCCTGTGGCTGCCAGAGCCGTCACTGACCACAACTCTCTGAGGGGCTCGCTGGGGGGAGGGGCGGCCAGAGAGGACCCACCAGAAATATCTGGTGAGGGAAGGAAGCCAAGTTGTAAACACACTTGACATTCCAGCTATAAAACACGCCGTATTATTATTCCTCAATATTTGAAAGTCTTAACTGTAACTGGCAAAAAATGTGTGCTGAAGTTCCAACGCATAAAAAACCCTAAGGAACAAGGAGATCGTGAGCAGGGGGAGAGGAAGATTTGCTCACTTGGAAGGTGGTCATGGGGTAACAAGGCTTGAGGGGGTAGTGGAGGGAGTTCAGTGCAGTGGGCTGGGACCCTGGGGGTGGGGTGCTGCTGCCAGACCTTCCTCCCATCTTCTGTTCCCAAGAACCCTAGGTGCTCCCAGCCCACTCACTAAGCCAAGCTTGGGCCACATGTTAGACAGCAGGGAGCCTCCTGGCATCTCCCTCACCATCACCATAAGGCAAGCATATCCCAGAGAACACTTCCCCCTCCCCCCAGGCAGCTCCTGGGGTAGCCACCTGGCTCCCGGCACCCTGCCCTCCAGGTGTGGCATCCTGGGGAGTCACACTTCTGAGTGTGTTCCTAAACTGGCCCCAGAGAGAGGCTGGGTCACCCTTGCTGCCCACGACGACTGTCGGCCCAGGAGGAGATATGCCCAGGACGTGGGAGAGAGGCGGGCTGGCGGAAAAATTACAGGAAGAGCGTCCCCTAACTCCCTTCTGTAAAACAGCACAGATCCCTCGGTAAGCACCCCGTCCTGTCCGGACACCCCGGCCCGAAAGGGACTCGACCTCTCCGTCTCCCCCAGCCCAGGCCCGGGCAAAAGTTTACCTTTGGGAGGGAGAGGGTGAGGGAGGAGGGGCCGGACGAGAAGGGCACGGCTCGCAGGACCCGCGCGCTCATTGGCCCAGATCTACCGCGACACTACCCTCCAGCAGGAGCAGGAAGAACCACTTTACGGAGGAAGGGAGGCGTCACGGGAGTGTGAAAGGGAGGCAGCAGCGGCCGAGCCTGGCTGTAAGGAACTGGCTCGCTCAAAGGGGGGTAAGACCAGAGAGAGAGGGGATGGTTACAGAGCATCGCCCCCCCGAACCCCGCATCCCTGGGGCTGTTTGGAGGAGGGGTGGGGCCAGGAAGCAAGGTCGGTAGGGGAGGCTAGGAACCGGGTCTCTCCTTCCAGGCGACTCCCTCCGGCGCTCGGAGGCAGGAACGCACCGGTGCAACCGGAAAGGCACGCGTAGGGGTTCCCGGTGCAGCTGCAGCACAAAAGGCCGCCCAGATTTGCCTAACACGGGGGGCTGAGCGTTTATGCAGGTTTACACACACAGTGCGGATCCACTACCAAGAACGGCGGGTCACCTCGGGACGGCCCCTTCCCAGCTCCGGACCTGTTTCCCACCTAGGGTGTGGGGGAGGGAGGCGACAATAAACGCTTTTGTAAGTGCGCGACAGCTCTGACTCTGCAAGCCTTCTCTCCTCCGGGGCCGGAAGGGCTGGCTGTGTCTCCCTTCCTATAGGACAAGGCTGGGCGGGGCGCTCTAGCTCGGGCCACTTCCGACACGAGCACCGGGCTCTCGGCTCGGAGAGGACACGTTCAGGGGGCGGCAGCGTGGGAGCCCTGAACCCAGGGTTTTCCCGAAATTGACGAAGGGACTTGGAGCAGTGCCTCAGTTTTCCAAAGAGCACAGTGACCCTGGGACCTCGCGGGGAGGCCAAGGGGCCGCTTACCTTTTCCTTCTTGCCGGCTCCGCTCTCCTCCGCGGCTGAAGCGCACTTGTTGAGCAGTTTCTTGCCTCCGCAGGCCGTCGGGCTCCAGGTGCGGCCGCCGGAGCAGGCGCCCCCTGTAGGATCCCCGGCGCCCCCGCCCGCGACGCTCTCCACCTTGATCAGGCGGTGCTTGGGGGAGATGTAGCGCACCTCTGCCGGCGTGGCCGGCCTTCGCTCGCTGCTGCGATAGAGGTGCGGGGAGCCCGAGGACGAGGACGCGGCGGCGCCTGCGCCCGACGAGGCGCAGCAGCAGCCGGCGGCGCCCGACGCGGACGAGGCCGAGAAGGCGCGCTGGCTCCCGCCCGGTTCCCCGCCGCCGCCGCAGTAGTCCAGGCGGCACATGGCGCGCAGCTTGCGCAGCGACGAGCCAGGCCCGTTGTAGGGGTCCTCAAAGTCGCGCTCCTTCTGCGCGCGGTAGGCGCGGATGAGGTCGCTCGTGCTGCCGCTGTCGTCGGGCAGCGAGCCCGACGAGGCCGCGAAGCAGGAGGCGGCGGCCGGACCGCAGGACGCCGAGGCGGCCGCGGGGGCCTGCGGCACGGCCTGGGGGGTCTGCGAGGGCCGCTCGCCCCGGCGCCGCTGCTCTCGGTAGTCGGGCCGCGGCGGCTGCGGGGGGCTCTTGGTCTTGCTGTTTCCCAAACTGAAGTATTTGTTCAGCCACTTTGCCATGGCGAGAGGCCACCTAGGGCCGTGGCGCGGGAACTCCGTCCGCTGCCGCGGCCATTCGGGGATAGCGCCGCCGCCCAGGCCCCTCGGCGCCCCGGCCCCGGCGGGGGGCGTCCGGGGCGCCCGCTCTGGACTCCAAGTTCAAGTTCTCGCCGCCGCCTCCCGCTGGCAGCTCCCAGGCTCCGGCAGCTGCAGCACGGCTCTCCGCCTCCGCAGTGTGCCGCCCGGGCTACGGATCTCGCGCCCCTCGCGGGCCAGTCTCATGGAGTCCCGGCCCGCGGCCCCGCGGTGAGCAAGAGGCCCAGGCACCCCCCGCCGCGGACGGTCTGGCCGTGCGCCGCGCCGTGGAGCGCGCTCCTGTCCCGTCGGAGCCGCAGGGTCTGTCTCCGCCGGGATCAGGGGCTCCTGAGGGAACTTGTCGGCGTTCGCGGCCCCCTTCTTCCTTCCCGAGAGCGCTGAGGCGAAACCGGCCCCGCAGCCGGCAAGCAGGCGGGCGGGCGCGAGAGCGAGCGAGCGAGCGACAGAGGGAGGCAGCCAGAGCCCGCCC